CAGCGTTTTCTAAATTATTATGACTTGCTTGAAAGCAGGATGCTTTGTGCACCGAGTTGCTGCTGTTGTAATGAGTACAACACTTGCTTTCTTCATGAATAAGAGATAAAATTAGATTAAAAGACACGTTCTTTTTGCGAGGTCCCATATTGAAGAATTGCATTTTGCCAAGTTACTTCGACATGATTCTCTCTAATTTGTCGGTTCATGCTAAGTGTTCCTTTAAATTTGCTCAGAACTTGGAATTTTTTCGTCAAACAATAGCTGCACTCAATAAAAAAGTTGAGCACATAACAAATCACACCACTTTGGTATACAAATCGCAAATGGGACATCAACTTATGATTGTTACACAAGAAAAGAATGAGAATATAAAAGAAGCAATTTTTGGATGGCTTCTCGACGCGAAAAAATTAGCCAAGCGTGGTGTTTATACCAAACCTATGAATGTAAGACATGTGTCTTCTATATAAGTTTCGCATAAACACCGAATGCGAGTAAGTATTTACCACTTTCCGGTGTATTTTATCATGCATAGGACTCTAGGAGAGGCCTTGTTGGCTCCTCATGGGGTCTGCTATACCTCCAGTACAAGACCAACTGTATGACCCCAAGAATTCCTCCTATTCCATTTGGGACCTGATTCATACACCTCAAAATGTTATTCTAAACACACAAAATGATAGCAATCAATGATAAAGCAAGAACTCGAGGAGGGTACAGGCAGGCCGGTGCACAAAGCATCCTGCATTCACGCAGGGTCCGGGAAAGGATCGCACCCCAAGAGGGTGTGATGTAGGCAGCCTACCCTGGCATCATTGGCTGATTCCACGGCTCGAACCCGTGACCTATAGGTCACACAGAGACAACTTGACTGTTACCCCGTTATAACAGGTTATCTACCACTTATTCTCGGTTGCCAGTCAACGCGATTAAAACGAATTACTTGCAATTATCTTTTAAATGAGCTGATCCTGTAAATTTCTTTATACAGTCAGCTTTTAGGACTTAAACACAATTATTAAAAGGGAAACAGAAATTACAGAGCATATATATAAGGAAAAGACTGCATAGAGAAAGTATATCAAGTTACTTACAGAGATAAATGGATCTTGCTTAAACATTCCATAAGCAAAGAAAGAAAGGCTCATAAGAAAAGTTGCAAGAGAGAGGTAAAATGGCATGTACTCAACACTCTTTGTCCTGATCACCAAATTCTGTAAAAGAATATCTAATATTAGACTCATCAACTGACATCAATGAAATATATCTTAATTAGGCAATTGCTCTTCTTGATCAACTTACAATAATGAATAGTGGAGAAGCAAACATGGAAATGAGAGAAATGACAGATAAATATCCAACAAAAGTTTGTCGGCTCGGAGGTTCAAATAGACAGATGCTGATGGAAACTACAGCAGCAAATACAGCAAAAACACCGAGCAACAACCCCAACATCTTCAACTGCATTGAACATGTAACATTAAAGCATCGTCTCGTATTAGCAAGTTGTCGTATTAGCTATGTTCCTCGTACTCTCCGAAAATGCTGCGGTATTCGTGTCAGATCCTTCAAAAATGTACTACTTTTGAAGGATCCAACGCTCACCCGACGCCATTTTTAAGAGTCTTAGCAACATAGAACAAAAGTGTATTTCTTTAAAGAACATAAATTTTTAGATAAGACAGTCACACAATTCAAGATGGTATCAGAGCAAACGAAGTTCATCTAATAGAATTTGGTTATGCTTGCATGTAAAGGTGCATATTAAAGACATACTTAAGTAAATGAAAGTGTGTTCTCTAACAGCTTAAATTTTTAGATGAGATGGTCATACAATTTAGCGGGAGGTAAAAGATCTGACCTTTTTTTCCCTCTCTGCAAATATGATGAAGATAATTATATAAACGAACTGGAATACTGCTCCAACAGAATTGACTGTGAAAACCAATATAATACCAGGAGATACAATTGGTGTTCCATACCAGAGACATATGAAGCAATTCAAGAGCGCGTAAATATAAGGTAGCCCAGAAAACTGTTCTGTTGACTTGCTTCCGACGATCCTTTTGAATGTTGGTCTGAAATAAAGGAGCGGAAAACATCAGTTTAAATGCGCGCACGCACACACACACATGTATATACGAATCGATATATTAATGTACAATTTTTTTTTAAAGATTTAAAATACTTACATTGGTGACACAAATAAAATAAATGCAAAAAGGTTCCCTGCAATATGCATAAACCAAACATTTTGTCACTAGCAAGATTGGAAGGCAATTGAAGAAGTATTGATATCTCAAAGCAAAATCATAATAAGCTTGTACAGTCAGACCTCTTTATAAAAATATTTTTATGTAACAACCGTTTATTATAAAAGTCAATTTTTTCTCGGAACCGATCTTTTATGTTATATTATAATATATGTCCTCTATAACAACACTTCACTATAGCATCCAAAAAAAATGGAGTGTACATCAATTTTCTTCTTATCTTTTCCTCTTATGTATAAAGAATTTAAGTCATACAAACTAGCAATGCAAATAAAAAAAAACTGTAGTAGTTTAACATATTATAGCAGGCCAGTTACCATTATTACCGTATTACTTTTAATACTTGCACACACAAAAAAGGAAGGAAATAAAGGAATGACACTAACTTCCATAATAACCAATCCTATCAAAACAGGAAAACTAATGAGGTTTCAACAGATATTCTCTGATGATATTCCAAAATAAAAAATTTCGAAAACTATAAGCAAACAGAGAACTCTCATATGTATATATTGCAGTTGAGAGAGTGAGGTGGAATGAATGAGATGAGTCTCCATTACTTGAGATCACCAAAGATCACGAGTTCGAGTCATCTGAATGAAGAAAACCTTATAGTACTTCCCCTTAAGTGGACCTTCCACACAGTGGCGTTCATCGAAAAATTATAATATGTTATATGAAAAATTATACTGTATATATATGTAAAAATTATTTTTATACATACATATATATATAT